TAATTTACACACTTAATACATAAACTAAACTAACATAAACTAGGATTTATTCAAAGCATGCAACAAAAATACAGAAACAATATGCCAAAAGTGAAAACAAAATAAATCTACAGCAGCATGGTCCTATATGGTCCAACTAATTTGGTTCCCAGAGTTGAACAAAGTCTTTTGTTTGTCCTTTTACCAACTTAAGTAAAACTTTTCTACATATATACATATATTTCTTCTACTTTTTATAATGGTTGGATCTGCATGATGTTTCGGGATCTGGTTAGCATGTAGCTTCTAGGCTGTAAATATTTAAAGAAATGTATTTTTTTCACATAAATGACTGAAGGTAAGCAACACGCCGTACATGTATATGATCTTTAGCTTGTTGGATCCTTCTCACATTCCACCCTCCGTAAATTGACCCAAGTTTTAAAGAAACATCTTATCAGATCAATTAGAGCTTGATTGTGTGCCATGGATCAGACTCAACTACTACACCAGACTTTAGCTCATTATCTGTAAAACTAACTGACTTGACTAAGGTTATTTAGCTGTGGCAGCCATCTTGAACCAGACCGACCGAAAAGTTAAATAGAAAATTTGAATTTTCCTGTGAAAGTGCTGAATAGTTTTGCTGAAAAAAGCTGAACAAGCTCAAGTTAATTTGATACAATAATAGCAGAAAGGTAAAAAGAAAAGGCAAAAAGGAACAAATAAAAAAGAAAACAGCAGAAAAATAATAGAAAAACTGAAAAAAAGTTAAATCAGCTGAAAAGAGCAGGCAAAAGCTGTAATTAATAGTAAGAAGTTGAAGTTACCAGAAAAAGCCAAAAAGGAGCAGAAAAACTGAAATTAGAAGAGAGAAGCTAAAAAAAAAAACTAAAAGGAAATCTGAGCACAAAAAGCAAAATTAGCAGAAAAAGGCTGAAAGAGCAGAAGCAAGCTGAAATAGATAAGAATAAGCTGTTAAAGAGCACAACTGCTGAAAATGGCTAAAAAGTTACCAAAATATGGCTGATATTAGCAGACAAAAAGATAAAAATGTCTGATAAAGCAAAATAAAGTTGAAATTAGAAGGACAAATTGGTAAGAAGCTAAAATAAGCTTAAATTAAATACTACCCCCCAAAAATAAATAAATAAATGCTGGTAAGATGAATTGAGCAAGCTAAAAGGAACTGAAGGAAGCTGCAATGAGCTGAAAAAGTAGGAGCAGATCAACATTGAATTTAACAGAAAAAGCTAAAAGGAGCACATATATACATATATACATGTATGTGTGTGTGTGCTATATATATATATATATATATAACAATTAGTAGAAAGCATCTATAAAAAGTACAAAAAGCTGAATTTAGCTGAAAGAAGCTGAAAGGCTCATCTACCAGAAATATGCTGAAGAAGCCGAACAACAGCTGAAATGGTCAGTTGTAAACAGCTCAAAGGCTCTGAAGGATGTGAAGGAAGCTCCATCCATTTTCAATGAGAAAAACATGGCCAATATTTAATAAAGTAAAAATTACACAAATACTAAAAGTCAGAGCAGGAACGTCCTGAATGAGCCGAACGCTTTGATACATGAACGGTTGACATAGAACAGAAACTGAGGAGGTGAAGTGCCGAAAACGCAAAGATGAAAAACGGATCTCAGTAGTTGCAGATGTATCTCCAAAAAACTGAGTTTCACGAAAACTTGTCCACTAGTTGCTGAGATTTTTTGCTAACAGACAGATAGCCTCAGACAGTTACACTGTTGCCTGCCTTTCATGGTGGTAGGCGTCGCAAAAACGTAAACCACTAAAGCAAAGAAAACATTTATACTGACACTGATTTTGACATATCTAGTTCAAAGACGGTTCTGAAGGACTAATTAATTAGAGGAAGCTCTCAGCTCGTCTTGTTCTATTTAGATATTTCACTGTGGACTGAGGGTCGTAGCGCCTCGCTTCTCTCCAGTTCCTGCTGTTTGTTTATCAGAGAAAGCAGTCTCACAGGGTGTTTGAGACGCAGATAGTCAACAGAACATTCTGTGTCTTGGCTGCAGGTCGAGTTCATTCAGAGCAGCAGAAAGAGCAAATAATCTTACGTTAGTCAGACATGATGTTTGGATTATTAAAGTTTAAATGGTGCATCATCCTCCCACATTTTACCAGACTGGTGCGACTCAAAGAGCAGAACGTTTAAAGGAATCTGCCTCCAGTTACCGTGTCATTCAACCTTTATTTATTGTTTATTATTCCTAAAAATGTTAAATTATAAGATATATTTTTCTGTTTTCTTAAATGTACAGCTGATCTGAGGAGATGTTTCGTCCACCATTCATGGCCGTACGTCTCCAGATGCTTAAGGTTGGATAGGTACAGTTTGCGTCCATCATTCTCTAGTAAATCAGTGGTTTTAAGTTGGGATTCTCTGTGAGTTTTGGTGGACAACTCTCCCTTGGCAGGTTTTCTCTGATTCAATTCAATTCAGTTTATTTATATTGTGCCAATACATGGCATCATTTTTTCATTTTATAATAATAATAATAATAATTTGGCGCTATATAAACTGAATTGAATTGAATTAATAATGATTTTCATGGAGCTCCACAAGACATTCTGGGTTCTGCATTAGTTTGTAACCCAACCCTGATCTGTTCTCCACTTCTTCCTCTTTGACCTTGGTCTTCATGATGTCTCTTGTTTGACAGTATACTACTACTGAGAGTTGTTGAACTAGTGTTGATTCTGGGTGGATGAAGACTGAACCAATCAGCAGGAATATTCTGTTGTTTGTCTTTTTACCTCCAGTGGACTTTCAGGATCAGAATCAACTTTACTTTTATTGGCCTAAAAATCTGACGGTGTGTATTAAAAAAAGCTTTGCTGTGTTCACTTGCTTTGCCTCTACTTGATGTCCTTTTGTGACACAAAACAGAGCCACTCCAGAGTAAAAAGTGTGAAATAAAAGCCTCATTAAGTGGTCATTAAGTTAGCTAAACCCACAAATTTCAAAAGGAGTGCAGATAAAATGTCCTTGTTGTTGTCACTGGTAACTGTTGCTCCTCTTCATCCCTGAAAACATGCAGTGATGAAAGCTTTAGATTAGCTTTAACAGCCTCTGCTTTCATGAATGTGTCCTGAACATGTCCTCATTTCTGAAAATGGACATCATAAACAGAAACAAACGCACAGGGTAATTTTTATTCATCTTTATGTGTGAATAAACAGCATTTCCTTTTGTTTTCTTTAATGATGGATAATTCTCTCAGCATCTCTAGGCTCAGATTTTAAATAAATATGTCTGCGTTCATGTTCCTCAGCAGGAAGTCTTGGCTCGGTGCAGATAATTTGTGCTTGTTGAAAGGCTGTTCAGCCTCAGAGTAATTCCCATCAACAACTCTGCAGGGAAACTGATAAACACCAGACCAAAGACAGGGAATGTTTCCAAAGAAAATATGCATGAATCAGATGTGAAGCGGCTGCTCTGATTATTTACTCCAGTAAAGATCTTTTTTTTGTTTAACATCTTCTGATGATTATGGTAAAATAAAAAAGAAGGAATCATGTTTGACATCCATAGCATCGTACAAGGACAGCCCTCATATTTACGTTTTGCTTCAATCGGGAGTTACAAAAGATATTTTGTTAAAGTTTGGCTAAAGAAAAGCTTTTTATTCAATCAGGCAGCTATGATAAATCAGTTTAACAAGAAAAAAAACCCTTCTGGAGTCACTTGTTGCCATGGTGATTCCCGCCTTTTCCAGGGAGCAGAGGAAAGGGGCGGAGCAACAGCTGCACTTATAAACAAGAACCTTAGCCTCATTCAAACGGTGGCTGTGCAAAAACTTTAACTCTTATGGAGGAAATTCCTGAAACGTAAGCATACACAAATATCTGATAGTCACACGTTAATATTTATGTTTCTAAAGTGTTTTATAGTGAAGGCAAGTTAAAAAGACCCTCGGACATAATGAAAGTTGATGGGACTTTGTGTGCACAGCCTGAGAGAATTAGAGCGAAATTACACATTTTATATTAGTAAGAGACACACTGAATAAAAATGACAACAATACCTACACTTTGATGTATAAAATGTATAAGAACTGTAAAGATTGTGGAAAAAAAGAGTTAGATAAATTAGTATGACATCATCACATGCTAAAGAAAACACACTTAAACCGTGATTTTGTAAAAACTGTTAGTTAAAGGTACCAAAAAAACAAGTACAGTCATATAAAGTCCAACTTTCTGTGACTTATTTAAACTTTGAATAATGTCTGTCTGAGCTGTAGATCTCTGAAGAGGACTGGGTTTTATCACTTCTAATAAATCCCGTTATGGGGAAATATAACGGTTATTTGTTAATTTGTCTATGTCAAAGGTTGTGCTGCTACTTAAAGTCAGGGCACATTATTCCTGACTGAGCTGCATGTTTTTATGGGTTTTTCTAAAGCTCAAGGAGGACTAGCAAATTTAAAATGAGAACGCAAACATGGGACTAACCGGTTAAAAGAAATAAAGCAGCTTCAGTGCGTTATTACCCTTAACAACGCCATCCCATTACCCACTTCTTACTTTCTGGGTTGCAGGGATCGCTGATGTCCATGTCCAGCAGTCACTGTGCAAGAAATAGGAACACCCTGGACAGGTCCAAAGTCCATCACAAGGACACATAGAGACAAACAATCATACAGGCTTTCACTCTTGCTTAGGACCAGTTTAGAGTTACCATTTAATCTAACATGCATGTTTTTCATCTGTGGGAGAAAACTGGAGAACATGCAAACTCCAACCAGAATGGTCCCCAACTGGGATTCGATCCAGCAACATTGCTGAGAGGCAACAGCTCTTCCAACTGTGCCACCGTGCCACTCAACTCTGGTTCTCTTAAGGTCTTGGTGTTAACTGTCTTTGGTTAACATTCCTTTTGTCTTTCCATCCATTGTGATTAGGAACCCTAACAACTATTCAGTGCACAGCAGTTTTTTCTAGAAATGTGTATTTAAATTTTCCTGACTTCTTACAGGTCTCATCGTTGGATCTTTGATGGTGTGCTGGCTCCCCAACCAGATCTTTCGTTTCATGATGGCAGCCGTTTCCAAGTCCGACTGGACCCCTTCCTACCTGCATAGAATCGCTACGCTCCACCTCGTGGCCGACACCTTCTTCTACCTCAGCTCCGTTCTCAACCCCTTCCTTTACAACCTGTCCTCCAAGCAGTTCAGGGAGGTGTTCGTTCAGGTGCTGCGGTGCCGTCTCACCATCCAACATGTCAACAAGCGCACCCTGCAGCCACCCAGTGCTTCGTCTGGACGCTCCCTGCAGCCGCTGCTGCTCAGGTCGCTGCGTCGCAACAAGACGACTCCCCCCAACGCAATGATTCAGAACGACTCGGTAGGGTTTCCAAACAGTCAGACTGAAGAGGCAGGCGTGACTCTCAAAACAACAATAGATGTACCATCAGAGTCAGAAATATAATTTAATGCACCAAAAAAACAGGACTGACAGTTTTATTCATGTTGAACTTTCGTCACAGAGAAGATATTTTATCACAGTGACTTGAGAAGTTTGTCCTTTTTGATATAGATCATTAAACTTATATAAATAAATGTAAATGTATCAGTATATTGCTTTTTTTCTTCTTCTTGGACTACTGATTGTGTTTCTCAGTCAGAATATTTAGATAACCTCCTAAAAACCTTGTTTTTACAACTTTAAATATGGACATTTATTCTTTTCTCTAATACATATATTTATACATGAGTCTGAAAATATACAGGATCTACAGTGGTGGCCATGAGGGAAAAATAGAAGATTAAAAGGCTTGCTGTGCAATGTAGACATAAGTGAACCAGAAACTGCTGTCACAGGTTGCCTTAGTGATTCCCTCCTTTTTGGGGTAACAAAGGGAGGAGGGACTACACACAGAAATTAACAAGTACGCCTCACACAAGCAGTTGCTGTGCAAAAACTTTAAGTTGTATAAAAAATATTTTTGAACAATGACCGTCAGAAGGCTCTGATGGTCATACGTGTCAGTTTTCATGTTTCTACGATGTTTTATTGTTGGAGATATGACAACTTCAATAAATCCTTCACTTCCAGTTTTGGAGAGCAATTAGCACAGATCACTCTGGACATACATTTTTTTCAAACATTATCGTAAATTATAATGTATTTACTGCAAACAAGTATTATTTCAGTCATTACATGATGCCGTGATGAACGACTGTATGAGACTGTTGACGTGTAAATCTACATTTTCTTTTCCCTTCTTTTATTAAAAAAGTCCTGTCCATCAACAAGAAAATGTAATTAAAAACTCAACTACATCCTGTGATAAGATGGTCACAGTGATGTAAGTTTGTCAGTAATGTTGGGTTTAATTACTAAATTGTTGCAAATTAATCTGTATTTCAGTCTATAAGACAAAAGTAAAAGTGTTAAGTTAAGTTATGGTGCTCTTCAACATTTTTCAGGCATCTTAGTGACTTTATAATGATCAAATTTTAATGTCACTTTTTGAAGCTGGAATCTAAAGTACAAGCGAACAGTTTGAACATTAAAAATAGGGATTAAGTTTTTATTAGGTCTTGGTTTCATGGTGTTAATGAATAAAACTAATGAGGGATGAGTTTGTCCTTGAATGTTTTCACAGTGAACCGTTTTCTCCTCGCCTCACCCAGCAACTCCTGAGACAGGTCTGTGATCAGGCTTTGGACGCAATCAATGATTGTTTCATTCCTCCTGCCTTTTGTAGTTTGTCTTTCTTTTTTAACTCTGGAGGCAAGGTGCAACAAAAACAAACCTAAGGGGGAAAATGCTGCTTAGACCTAAACAAGTCACAGGACAGATGTCTCAGCTCACACAGTTTTAGATCAGAACATAAACATGTCCTCTCTCAGTTTCTGAGGTTCTCAGCAAAGATCTGAGGTCTGTCAGCAGAGGACGGAGTCCAGCAGCAGCAGGAAGACGCAGAGAGGAAATGCAGGAAGCTTCAGCGTGATGGCGGAGGACGACGGTGGCCGTTTCTTCTGCCGGGGGCCGTTGCACAGCGGCGTGTTACAACAGGTGATACACACCGAATTGAGCTTTCCGGTGCAGAACTGCTGGTACCCGGAGGAAGCGATGAGACAGGCACCTGACGAGGCGCAGGACTTCCTGTAGTGCATCCCTGAAAGAAGACACAAACAGGCCTTAGGCTGCAAAGGAGATGACTGGGATGTGATTTGTGCTCACAGGAGAAAGAACAGATGTCTGCATGTAACTGGGGATAAGTAGGTTTCGTTCTTTCATCTTCAGGATCTGAAATGGAAGGGAAACATGATTTTAACATCTTTTTAGATGTGTCCTTGATGTATTCAGCTTAGCCTAGTCATAAAACTTGGGTTTGTTGAGTCAGAGACATCGTCTGTTCACGAATCAGCAAGAAAAACACCGTTCTTTCTCAGAAACCGCAGCGGCTCTCCCCGAGTTTAATATCTTGTTTCATATTTAAAGGAATATGTTTAATTTCCCCACAAATAAGGAGATAAATTCCAAACAGAAACTTCAGACATTTCATTTATTGTGAAAATAAAGTAAGCGCCGACACTGAAGAGGCTTAAACAAAACTGTTGTTTCCAAAAGCAACAGTAGCTGAAAGCACCGAGACACGTGCTAAAATGAGCCAAACTGCATCTAAAAGCGCTGAAACAATAGCTAAAATTAGCAAACGCTACAAATAGCAAATCATGCTAGAGATAAAATCAGCTAAATGCTGTAACAGATGCTAAACTTAAAGTCAGCAAAACAGTAGCTAAAAGCACCAAAACAGTAGCTAAAATTTAAATTTGCAAAACATGTTCAAGGTAAACTCAGCAAAACAGCAACTTAAATGAGCAAAACTGTAGCTGAAAGTATCAACTATGGGTAATTGATAATTGAATTGGCTGTGGCTGGTTAGCTGTGGCGGCCATATTGAATCTGATTAACTCAAACAGTCTAAAAGCTTTAACTGATGAGAACGCCTCAGCAGAGGTTCTGATCCACATCTCCATGCTACAGAACTTTAGCTGTGACTGTTTTACACAGAAGCTGCTTGTATCAGGGCTGTTGGTTTTATTACCGGAAGAAAACTTTAACATTTGGCTGACATTCTATTCCCCAAAAATATCCGAGATGAGCCCATGACCCTCCAACGACCCCAGAAATCTTTTAGTGGAATCTCCACCCAACCACACCCCTTGAGAAACGTGCTTCATCTCAAATGTGGATTCTCCCTTAGCTTATATTCGGCTAATGTTGCACAGGTAGCGTATTCCAACATGGAGGGAATCTCATTAAAAATGTCTTCAGGTTAACCAGAAATAAGCTTTGTGAATATTTTACACAGCTAAAAGTGATTGTTTCTCTTTCTTTGTGTGTCTTATAATAAAATATCATTTTTTGTCACTTTTCATGTTTTAAACAAATCAGTTAGTGTTCAGAATATGTGCTGTGTACGACTCTTAGCTACTACCATACCAAAAGTGACCCCAACACCTAAAACGCAGACTCAGTTACAGCCATATTTGTGTTCAGTAAGGTCTAGAATCAGGATAATCAGTTATAGATGTACATTAAATGATTATTGTTTCTATCCATCCAGTGCGTTGCGAGATATTTCACTAACAAACTTCCTTAAACTTCCATTGAAACTGCTCAAAATTCTTTAAAATGCATTTAATTCGCCCTCTGAAGACAGATGATCTGAGCAGCCAGCTTGTTGATGTTATAAAAGATTAAACGTTAATAATAAACTGCAGGAAGTCCATAAAAATCAGGGTTTTCTGTTTGGACACAGTAATAGAGTTTAACAACAGCATCTGACAACCATTCAGAACGGAGCGCTCCATTTCTGTTTAACCTAATTTATGTAAATGATTGTGTCTGATTTCCTTTTTACTGATAGAGTAAATTAACTTTTGTAAAACGTCAGAAGTTCATTTAGATAAGCCGTCAAATCCGGGAGTCGGGAGTGAACATGTCGGAGTTTGTTTCCTGCCTTGGCGAGGCTGAAGAACAGCTCACAGGTTTTATTCTGTACTTTGAATTTTACTCCGTGAGGTTTTATTAAAATATGTTACCTGAACTGAACGTGTAATCAAAAAACTAGCAGTTTAGTGTGATTCCAAATTAAACTTTTTTGCTTTTTTTTTTGTCTCTAACTAGTTCAAATTCAGATATATTGTCAGTAAGATCTCACAGTAAGAACAAAACTGAGATTTTTAGGTTGGTATTGCAGAATAAAGAGGTAATAAAATAATAAGTTAAGTAAAGTTGTTGAATTCCTCTCTTGAGTCCCTACAAGGGGCTAATGGTCCAGACAAACATAGCCCCCAGGATCAAGGGGGTACTAGAACCCCTCCACCACTTTAAGGTGGGAATTCTTTGGACGGGCTTCAGACGGTCGTGTTGAAGAAAGAGTTGTGTCAAAAGGTAAAGCCGCTGCTCCTCTGCGTTGAAAGGGGTCAGCTGAGGTGTTTCATCTAATCTGGATGCCTTCCTTTGAAGGCTTTCCAGTCCTGACCAACTAGGAAGAAACCCTGAAGATCCAGAACTCTCTGAGGGGATTATATCGCTGGTTTGGAAACACCTTGTGGTCCCTCAGGAGGATTTGGACAGTGCCACTAGAAAGAGGGAGGTCTTGGTGTCTCTCCTGGACCGGTTGCCTCAATAATCGGACCACAGTTAAGTGGTAGAAGATAATTAAGTAAGACAAATGGACTAAACCAAAACCTAAAAATCACAGCTAAAAGAAGATCCGTTGCAACAAAACTATAGTTCAGCAGCAGCCGTTCATGGATTGCAGCTTTAAGGCAAATTGTTAAAGTCCAGAATGCTTAATATTTGGAGGACAGAGCAATTCATCAACATTCCTGCGTCCTCAAGATGTTTTTCAGTCTGGATGTTGCACAGATACAGATCAGCCTCCCTCCTGAGGGGAGGGGGTTAACGGTTTGTCTGCAGGGTGGCTAGGATCACAGAGAATCCCTACGTCTATATACGTATATACCACTGATCGGTGGTAAGCTGCACCCGACATCCTCTGTCCAGTCTTTACCAGAGTCTGCAGCTTCCAAACCATACATAGAAGGACCAGAGGGACCTCAGCACCCAGACCAGTGTTTTTCAGTTTCCTGAGGATATAAAGGTACTGGTGAGTTTGTGTGCCAGGTGAGGGTATTGGTCAAGTGTAGTCCAAAGGAGAGAACCATCTCCACACATCACCATCTGTAGAGTGGAGAGGTGCGGTGCCATCCAACCGTCTCCTTCATCTTCACCGTATCAAGTTCTAAACCTCCAACCTTTGCACCTTCCAACCACTTCTGTGGTGACCGTCACCTTAAGGTTCTGCTTGTAGTGAGCGTTGCTGTTGTAGACAGCTGAGCACACAGCTAAAAAACTAGTCCCAGCCCAGTGAGACCCGGACTTTACTTTGCACCTTGAAAAACCAAAACAATATAGACGACATTTTTTTCTGCACCTGCATCGCTCTGCCTGATCCTGTTGCCATTAGATTAAATGGTCAGTTTTACAGCTATTGAGATCAAATTTGGTGTGGTCGTAGCTGAGAGTCTTTCCCAGCACATACTCTGAGAACTAAAAACATAAAAGGTAGCAGGTCCCTCAAAGATTGGTACTTTAGGTGACAAGAAATCAAGAAAATAAACCATATCCCTATTAGTTATGTGTAAAATAACTGTAATGGTTATTTATTGTGAACCTGAGACCTTTTAATGAAATTAATGTTCTCTGTCCTCATCAAGTGTCCAAATGATGCCAATGTAGACAAATTAAAAGCCAAAGAAACTGTTTATTCGTTGCCTGAAAATGCACCCCGGTTCACTTTAGGTCATCTACAAAAGCTTGTGCACACCTGACCAATAATTTCAGCTTCTTAAAGTGCTTTCTCCACTTTAAAATAGATCTATGATAGAACTAACGCTATCCAGAGACAAAAAGACTCATCTCAGAGCGAGAAAGCACTCATGCACCTCTCTATCTGTACATTACATCTTCACGGAGCTGGATGCAACATTACCGGCTTGTAGGGGCAATCTGAGCGCAGGAGTACTTAGTGTGAATCATATAGCCTGACTGATTTTTATTTTTTTCACTTAAGCGCACCGCACCGAGCCGTCGCGGTCAGTCAAGTTCCTGTCCTCCTTTTCATGCCGAGCAGCGGCGATGATAACGCTGAGTGATGAAGAATGGGACGTACACGGGCGTTCGTGCAGAAATTTTCTTATTAAAGAGCTGTCCAGACGATAGCGGGGTGTTTCAAAAAAGCAAAGGCCTTTCATTGAGTTTGCTCATCAGCAGGGAATAAAATGCACCCAACCCATTTTAATTGAAGGAGACTTTCCACGTGGGGCGAGTGACCTTTAGTGTCTGCGTTATGCAACAAAAAGACACGTTTTCATTACTAACAGAGCAGTAGTATCATCCAAACGCTGGGAAAATTACAAACCTGAAAGGCCGAACAAAGCCAGAGCCTCAGATATGCATATCATCAAAACCTTTTATTGAGAGCGCTTCAATGCACAAAGCACCTTATTACTGTCTCTCCATTATTCCTCCATTTCTACAACTTTTAATTAGCGACAAAAACAACCAAAAATACATCAAAACGGGCTTTTCCATCTGGAATAGTGTGCTACAGATTTTGGTAATAGTACATTGCACGATGTAGACGTAAGTCACAAAAAACGCCAATAAATCCCCCCATAGACGACGATGGGACTTTGGTGGTGGAACGCATCCCCGTTTGGATCTACGGCTCAGACTTGATGGCAAAACAACATTCAGACTTTGAACGGGTGACTTTACACAGCTGAATTGACTTTTTGAGTTCTTTAAAAGGATTTTGTACAACTAAAGTTTATGTTTCTTAGGGTTTTTACCACAGAATGATCAACTTGGTGTTACAGGTTTCAAAATTTTGGGAAAAAAGTTCATCATATTTTCAATATCTTTACACTTTTTATATAGTTTATACATTGTATAAAGGCATTTTTATCTTCTTTCACCAAGCGTGTCACTCGCTGCTACAGAACGGATGGTTTTCCTTTAAATACCTCCAGAGTCCAGAGTGCGCACCCCCAAACTCCCACTGTATCTGAGGTCCGAACTTTCTCACCAAAACTAAACTTGTTGACCCGTCATATCTTCTACATAGTGGGGAAGTTTTAATTTTCTGTGTGCCACACATAAAACACCATAGACACCGAAACCGACCAAATCTTTTTCGACTTGGTTTTTACACAATGACAGTTATTTATTTAGAAAAAAAACTAGATCTTGCTCTGACATAAAGGATGTTTCTGAAAAAAATGGGGATGTAAAACCAGAATGAAAGTTAAAGCTTTGAGGTGCAGAACGTACCGTCGTCCTTCACCAGGACCTCCTTCTGGCACATGTCCTGCACGTTGACGGTGCAGTTGACAATGAACTCCGGCGTGGAGCAGTCGTGTGTCACCTCCTCACACTGATAACACTGGATCTGAAGAGCCAGCCCTGCAACACACACACACACACACACACACACACACAGTTGTCAAGATCTCCTTCCTCTTTTTACATTAACACTGAAGTCTGAAAAATCTTGTCCAGTGATGCAGCAATATTTGTCCATAGATTTATTATAGGTTTAGAACCCTGAAGGGTCATGGGACTTTGCCCATCCAGTGTACGTGTGTCTTGTGGACTTGGAGAAGACTTGGAATGGTTTCCTCAAGGCATACTGTGTGGGGTGCTACGTGAAGATGGGATTAGGGGTCTTGCTATGAGTCATTCAGTTCTTATAGAAACAGTGAAAGAGTTTAGTTCTCACTGCCAGTAGCAAGTTGGACCCCTTCAGAGTGGGAGCTAGACCCCTCCAAGGCTGCCCTGGAGGAGTCCAACTCCTTTGATAGACAGTATCCAGGGGTCGGAGAGAGTCTGGATCGATGGCCTCAGGATTCTATCTCTGTTTGCAGATGATGTGGTCCTGTTGGCGTCATCTTGTCGTGAGCTCCAGCTCTCACTGGAGTGGTTCACAGCTGGGCTGAGGATCAGAACCTCCAAGTCTGAGGTCCTGGTCCTCAGTCAGAGGGTGGACTGTCCTCTCTGGGTTGGGAGTGAGGTTCTGCCTCACATGGAGGAGTTCAAGTATCTTTGCTCCCGAGTGAAGAACGGAGCTTGAGATTAACAGACAGATTTGTGCAGCTTCTTCAATTTTGTGGTCTCTGTGCTGGTCCCTTGGACCTGAACTCTGTGGAGAAACTGAAAGAACCAGATCCTGGATCCAGGAGGTCTAAATGAGTTTTATCTGCAGGGTAGCTGGAAGGATACAAGGACTCACTAGAGATACTTTGACTCTCAGCTGGCCTTCAAATCCTCCAGGAGGAGCTGGAGAGATGGAGGTTTGGGTTTCCCTTCTGACGCGATGATGGATTTAAATTAGATCAGTGTTGTTTTTCTGAGTGGTGCCACAAAAACTTCTTTTTTTTTTAATGTTACTTTTCAGAACATCGAGAAGCCTCTGTCAGAGTTCCTCCAGAAAACAGATTTTTACAGTTAAAGCTGACTTCAAACTAAATTTAGTTTAGTAGAAAACTCATAATTGACCTTGTGGCGATGGGTTTGCTCTGTTATTTATCTCCGTTTGTGAAACACGCACCAGTTTCTGTAGTGAAACGGGATTTTAAAGGGAGTCCTTCAAAACTGGGTTGTACTCAGGTGAGGCTCAACTGGGCTCTATCTGGGTCGGGCCGTTACATGGGGGATCCCTGGATCAGACGGATTAGGAGGAACCGGACCAAAAAGGACAAGGAGCTCTAGTTCTGGATTGATGGATGAACAGAGAGGCAGCCATCAAGAAAGAAGGTCCAGCTCCAAGTCCTCAACCACAAGAACAAAGAAGAACTGTCTGAAGGTCCGATGAGACAAGAAAAGACGGAACATGACCCCATCATCAAAAACCTCCAAGAACATTGAGCCCATTGTAAAACACGGTGGTGGTAGCACCATACTCTGAAGCTGTATCAACAAACACAAGTCCAAAAGCCCAGTTCAGTGATGGTCTTGGCTGGGGTCACGGTCAGGGTTCTGTGATGGTTCTGGTCTTGGATCAGCAACATCTGCTGCCTTCAAGAACCAAAACTTTTTGTAGGACATTTGAGTGTTCTTCATTAAAACGATGTAAAATCACATTCTGCTCACAATCTAAAGGCTCAGGGAGAGGAGGGACCAGGTTCTGGACTGGCCCGCCTGCTGTTCTGGACCTGGACTCACGTACTGTTGGACACCTGAACACAAAATGACACCTGAAACTCTTCATCACTCGATCTCCTCATCGTCGCGTCTTTTTTCTTTAATTTTGTCAAACCTGCCATATTTTGTATCAAAAGTGTCAAAGTTTTTTATTTTCAACCAAACAAACAAGAGACGAGAAAAAAACAATGTTTTAAAATGATGTGAAAACGAGAACACAAAGATTTCACTACAGATTCATGAATCTGAAGCAAAATTATAAAAAAATAAAAATAAATCTAATTTCCACACCAAATAAACACCAAATTTGAGAGTTGTTGGAGCCAAATTTTACCATTTTTGTAAAATTAAAACAAAAATGATTTTAATTCTTAAATAATATAAGTCCTTATAAAAATAATACTTGAGATGTCTAAAAATATTTTAAAAGTTTTTATAAAATCTTGTGTCTGAAACTTTAGCTGTAGAACTTTTATTATTTTGATCCTGCAGAACCTTTTTCAGGGTTGTTGTTCGAGATCTCGTCAGTTCCATCAGAACCTGGTTTAGGAGGAACATCATTCGGTTCTAGACCGGTTTTGGTCTCGTGAGAGCTCATCTGGACCTGGAGCGGCTGTTGCGTGTGCGAGCGCAGCGCCAAAATGAGCTGAGGATTAAAATCTGAGAATAAAGATGATCTGAAGCTTCTAGATCATCCATCATCCGTCCATCAATCATCCTCCCATCATCCATCAGTCATCCACCAATCATCCATCCATCTATTATCCATCCATCATCCATCAATCATCCATCCATCATCCAGCCGCACGAGGAGCCCAAACTAACTCCCAGCCTGAAGCTTCTCCTTTTCATAGAAACCCATTCCTGTGGCTCCGGTCGGGTTCGGGACTCCCTCCTGCCTCCTGAGGAGTGATGGAGTGATGAAGAAGAGAAGAGGAGCGGTTTCCTACCTGAGCTGAAGAGGAGGAGGAGGAAGAGGAGCAGAGCGGAGCCGGTGAGCGGCCGCATCCTTCCTCCTTCAGACTCCGAGCAGAAACATGAGGAGCTGCTGAGGCTGCTGCCAGTCCTGTTGCGCGCGAGACACGCACGCACGTGCGCGGCGCTCTGACGCACCACGTGTCTTCTCTCTCTCCTGATGGCGCCCTGTTCTAGTCTCACCTGCGAGTTCTTAATTTAAGTTTTTACTTTTGGAAAAATCAACAGACGAATAAAACCTTTTATTTCGAGTCAACTTGAAATTTAAAACCACGTTCAGTTCAACAAATGTTTTACAAACAACTAATTTTATTAAAGGGACATTCCGGCCACTCTGAAGTGTGGTTCAGTGAGTTGTGAACAGCTAACATCTCTTTACAGTTTCTCTACGAGTATTAATGTCCATGTGGAGAAAGAACTTCTCACAGCCCAGTGTTAGAAGTCTGGAGGATAAATAAATCTTTAGGCCTGCTCTTTTCTGAGCTGCGACCATTGAGGACAAGTTGTCAACACGACGTTGTGAGAAACAAAACATAACTTTTCACTTTGAATCAAACTAAACACTGACATGAGATCTGACCAACATTAACTGGGATTTTGAGGAGATGAGAGGAATACGATGCTCTAAAAGGTCAAATCATGCTTTATAATTTTTTCCTGGTCTCTGAGGACTGATTCTTTTTCACCCCCTGAAGTCCAGTAGATTCATTCAAACTGCACTTCTTTTAATTATTGGATGAAACTCCACGTCGGTGGAGCGTCACGGCGCTCCAGAGGAGCTGTTTGTCATCCAGCCAGCTAATCGCCTTAATTGGAACACGGGTAATTACACATTAAGGTATGATTATAAAACACAAGGCCCTGCTTTGATCAAGCTGTAAACCAGCTTCTATGTTTTAATCAATGAGCAGATTTACAGCCGAGAGAGGAGAGAGAGAAAACCTGCAGCTGAGAGAAGAAAAACGACAGCAGCTGAAGCTACTGACAGCAGCTGAAGCTACTGACAGCAGCTGAAGCTACTGACAGCAGCTGAAGCTATTGACAGCAGCTGAAGCTACTGACAGCAGCTGAAGCTATTGACAGCAGCTGAGAGAAGAAAAACAACAGCAGCTGAAGCTATTGACAGCAGCTGAAGCTATTGACAGCAGCTGAAGCTACTGACAGCAGCTGAGAGAAGAAAAACAACAGCAGCTGAAGCTATTGACAGCAGCTGAAGCTATTGAGCACGCATCAGGACAGTAGCTGAAGGTTTAGACAAGTAAGGAAACTGGGTGTTAATGAAAATAAAGGAAATCATCCAAGAACATCTGAGATTCATCCATCCATCAGCATTCATCATCCATCCATCATCCATCATCCATCCATCATCCATCTATCCATCCATCATCCATCAGCCAACATCCATGCATCAGCATTCATAATCCATTCATCATCCATTCATCATCCATCAATCATCCATCATCCATCCATCCATCAGCCATCATCCATCCATCAGCATCCATAGTCCATTCATCATCCATCCTTCATCCATTCATCATCCATCAATCATTCATCATCCATTCATCATCCATCAATCATCCATCATCTATCCATCCATCAGCATCCATAGTCCATTCATCATCCATCCTTCATCCATTCATCATCCATCAATCATTCATCATCCATTCATCATCCATCAATCATCCATCATTCATCCATCATCTATCAATCATCCATCATCCATCCATCCATCATCAGCATATCAGCATTCAACATCCATCGATCAGCATTCAACATCCATTTAGCCATCATCCATCCAGCCATCATCCATCCATCCATCCATCCATCCATCCATCCATCCATCCATCCATCCATCCATCATCCATCCATCCATCCATCCATCCATCCATCCATCCATCCATCATCCATCCATCCATCCATCCATCCAGCCATCCATCCATCCATTATCTTTTACCCACTTCTTCCATTTTGGGTCATACTGTGGCAAAATGTTCTAATGCTTTCTTTTTCATGTTTATTGGGGACTGCCACCTATTATTATTCACCTGACAAGGGTTTCATAACTTTATATCTTACTCTTCCATCAACTTTAATGCGGTTCGAACCGCGATGTAAAGTTTATATCAAAACGACTGGCTTGGCACCGTGATTTGCACTATTACTTTTATTGGTGTTTTGAGTTACCATGGTGACATAATTTGTAATCAAATATGACATTTTTATTAGTCAATTTTCATAGAGTGGTTGCAAATGAAATATCCAAGATGGCCACTTGAGCTAAATGGAAA